AATCGATGAGCTGAAGAAGGAACTCCCTGGAGTCATGATTGTTCGCCGACACCAAGATGGGTCCACAGAGATCACCGACGAATTCTGGCGAGCCTTGACAGCCAAAGCACACTCTGAACCTGAATGGACGAAATTTCTTGAAGACACGAAAGCCAAGCTCGCTATACTCTTCGACAACACAGCCCATAAAGAGCGCAGCCCCACCGAGAGTTGGCCTCAGGCTGCATCACGTGAAGAATTCATCAAGCTGGTGGAGCAGCGGTACGAGAGCCTTACCACCCAGGTGAACAAGAGAATCGAAGAGGCCATCCGAACCCAGAGCACCCAGCTCAAGACGATGATGCAAACAGAAGCCAAGAAAACCATGCTGGATCAGATCCGCCTCAATGCCCTTGCACAGGCCAATCTTGTCGCCAATTACGAACTACATCTTACAAAACCTAATTATTTTTCACCGGGTCTGGGTGCCACGATTGATCCAGACCTGTCTTCTGTCACTTTCGATAAGAAATCCGGTCGCATTGCCGGACTCGCACGCCGCCTCTCGTGGGTTCCGGAGCGCAACCCTCCGATTGCCGCACTCACCAAGTGGGAGGAACCCGGGGATTGCTGGTGTTCAGCAAGTTCGAACCCTGCATCACCTGGCCAGGCGCAGCTCGCCATCCGAGTTCCCCGTCTCGTCATTCCCAAACAAGTCACCATCGAGCACGTGCCCATGAGCATGATGCCTGCCCGCAAAATCAACAACGCACCCCGAGACATGGAGCTCTGGGTTCAGACGAACGGACCAATCAAGCCGTATTACAGTCACCGCGAGGTAAGCTGCCGAAGCGCGCCGCCGGAAAGCGCAGGGGGCAAGTGGAAGTGCTTGGGTTCGTTCAAGTACAACATCCACGCTTCCAACCACTTGCAGACGTTTGATCTGTCGGGCGAGCCGTCGGAGCCCGTGTCCCGTGTTATACTGCGTGTGACCAGCAACTGGGGTGCTAGCCATACCTGCCTGTACCAGGTGAGACTGCATGGAACGGATGCCGAAAACGATTTCGAGTACCCGGTCAACCTAATGGACTAAATCCCCGCATGTCCATGCGTCTTTCTTGCTTTAATTTGTTCTTATTTTTGTGTTCTAAATTGGAAGAAGGAGGAGGACAACCCAAAATGGAAAGCAGCGGAGCACCGTGACTGTTTGATTGTTGATTGGCGGGCATTTTACGATTTGTTTTTTTTTCCACGGTTTTCATCCCCTTGTATACCCCAGGACAGTTCTAGAGCATAACGAATTTACGCTTCACTTGATGACAAGTAGGTAATAGATTGGACAACATGGCTTCTCCCATGATGTGATTTTTTCTTGTTTCTTGTCATTCTTTTGGTGTGTCACAATACGTATATGGACACTACAAGGTAAGGAAATCTATCGTACTACGCCACCCTTGAGAGTTGGAATGCTACACAGGCCATCCTTGGTCCTCAACTTGGCAACACCCGTCTTCTTATCCGCACCCTCGCCGCTCAACTGCGGCACGACACCAACATCAAAGCCCACTTCCAGAGAGTCGGTGGTAGTAAAGCCAGGCTGAATGGTTTCCCAGACCTTCTTCTTGGGGTTCAGCACCGGCTCCGGCTCGCCCTCCCAGCCCTCAAAGTAGACTCGGTCACCAGCCTTGCTTTCAGCTGGGGGGTTTACCAACTCGACAGGCCCCTTGTGACTATCCTCGCCCTCTGCTACTCTTGGTGATGCGGCAAGGACCATGGCACATGACTTGACGCCGCGCATTGTGACGGGCTTGAGATTGCACACGGCGACAATCTTGCGATTCTGCATCTCCTCAAGGGGAATCAGGCCGTTGAGGCCAGAGCATACGGTACGCACAATCTGGCCTTCATATTCGGATGTGTTGTCTGTACCGGGATCGTCGCCGCATGCAATGGTAGAAACGTACAAAGAGTCGGCATTGGGGTGGGTCTCGGCCTTGAGAATGTGGCCTACACGGAGGTCGATGAGGGCGGGGGAGAGGGGCTTCTCGACGGGTGCACTATAGGCTGTCAGTCAGTATTCAAAGACAAATGAGAGGGTTCAATGGAAGTGGACGTACGCCTTCTGAGGCTTGGGCTGCTTCTCCTTCTTTTCCTTCTTCTTCTTCTCGGTCGGTGCACCCTCAGGAATGCCGCTCGTCGGGTTACCGGCAACTGCTGATGCGACGGCAGATCCAGCTGCGTCTGCCTTTGCCTTTGCCTTGTCTGCCTTGCTCTTGCCTCCCTGGCCTCCCTGTGCGTTCTGACCCTGAGCTCCAGTCAAGGTGGTAGCCGTGGCGCCCGAGGCTGCCGCACCTGCCGCCGCAGCCTCCTTCTCCTTCTTCTTGCGCTCCTTCTCAGCCTTGGCATCTACCGGCTTGATTTTGAAGACGACATTGTCTGGGTCGACGCTAACCTTGTCGTCCAGCTTGAGGCCAAAGACTGGCGAGTTCTGAACAAAGTCAATGTGGCGGACAATGTGATGGTATCCCTGCTCTCCTGTCCTCTCTTCTGCACTCCACTTTGAGACGACGGGTGCGAGCTTCTGGTAGATGGCAATGTCAGCGACAGAGGGCTTTGCGCCAAGAAGGGTGGTCCGGCTGGAGAGGTGTGTGTTCAGCGACGACAGGCGCTCCGAGGCCTTTGCGGCGTCCTCAGAAGGAGAGGCCACGTGAGAGGCAGTGATGAGCCACTGGCTGAGCTCAGTCTTTTCGACATCGGTGTAGGTGACAGTAGGGAAGAGGGCCTGGGAAGCCTTGACGGCGTCGGTCTCGTCGGCGGCGTTGTTGGGCGCGTGCTTCTTGAGGAAGGCGACGACAGTCTCGTCGAGGGTGGCCATGGTGCGTAGTTGAGGAAGTGTTGTGCTGAAAAAGTTCAAGCTGAGAGCAAGTGGCTGTAGTGGGGTAAAGAAGTCGGCCGCAAAGCTAGTAGAGGGGTTCGTTGCAGGCAAGGAGCGGGGAATTGGCAAGCGTGTCGACAAGAACAGGCGCTGGCTGAGTCGTGCTTCTGTTGGCTGAGTTGGTCTGGCGTGAAAATTGCGTAGAAAGGGCGCAATTGAAGCTGAGGCGCGAAGAGGCATTGTTCACGTGAGTCAAATTCATAGCAGTCTGCCGTCACCGCGGGGCGCTGAAGCTCCATCTTGTTCGCCCGGGCCCATGAATGGCCACCGCCGCCGCACTGCGACATGGGCATCTTGTTTTTTTCTTTTCTTTTCCTGTCGCCGAAGAAGAGCAAGACTCGCTCGAGCGAGTCGTTTCTGCTTGCGGGAACGTCGTCATATGCTGATGCCTTTTGTTCTTGCTCCTCTTCTTCTTTTGCGCCCTGGCGACGACATCTGGGATGGCCCCGCCCTCTAGCACTGCAGTGGACATAGCATGGCATGGCATGGGCCGTGGCAAAAAGGCTTGTTGTAGCCTGCACCTCGCTCTTGACTCCAAGCACAAGCCTGCCGTATACATAGGCAGTGGGTGACGCAACCGCAGACGTTGTTTGCTGCTTGTCCCTCATCGACCCCACGTCAGGAATCCTCTACTCACACCTCCTACCCCGCAACACCATCCTCAACCAGCACCAACATGGCTTCCGAAGCTTCCCCCGATGTGCCCAAGGGCCGGAAGAGATTCATTCCTCTTGGTAAGTTGTTCCAGCTTGCCACGGCACACGCCTAATAACATGCGACAGAGAACAACCCGGAGGTCATGACGGGCCTCGTTCACAAGCTCGGCCTGTCCGACAAGCTTGCCTTCCACGACGTCTTCAGTATCGACGACCCTGAACTCCTCGCCTTTGTACCGCGGCCTGCTCATGCCCTCCTTCTCGTGTTTCCCGTGAGCCAGACGTACGAAAAATTCCGCATCGAAGAAGACAAAGATAGGTCAGAATATCAGGGCCATGGCCCGGACGAAGAAGTGATTTGGTACAAGCAAACTATCGGCAACGCCTGTGGACTGATTGGCCTGCTCCATGCAGTCTCGAATGGCTCGGCACGCACACACATTCGTCAGCAGCCCCCTCGTTACGCGGGGAGGTTTCAGGGTTTACTAACATAGCCTTTAGAAGCTGATTCCAACCTAGCTAAGCTTGTCCAAAATGCGATACCACTGAAACCCGCCCAACGAGCTGACCTCCTCTATGACTCTGAGGCCCTCGAGAGTGCGCATCAAAGTGCGGCATCGGGCGGCGACACCGCTGCACCCCAGGCTGACTCCGACGTGGACCTGCACTATGTTTGCTTCATCAAGTCGGAAAAAAACCATCTATGGGAGCTTGATGGCCGTCGTAAAGGTCCTCTCAATCGTGGTGCGCTAGCTTCCGAAGAGGACCTTCTTAGCGACAAGGCCCTGGATTTGGGTGTGCGCAGCTTCCTCAAGCGTGAGGCCGAAGCTGGTGGAGGCGAACTGCGCTTCAGTCTGATCACGCTCGCCGAATCATTCTAGCTCGACGTGAAACAATGGAAGCTCGGGGGAGCCTTACACGTCATTTTCCAATGGTGGCCGCGACGGTTGGCGCCACTGTCGACCAACAGTCGTGATAGTGGGGCGACTAAGTACAAGCCACCGTAAGCAAAGCCTCCCGTGTGGCCTGGACCGAGTCCTTATTAAGGGGTGGGTGACGTTTTATTACTGTTCGAGTCGAACCAGGTACCCCAGAATCCCGGCTTGTCATATGTCGCTGTCCTTGTCATATTTTCAACGAGATGATCACACGGGGAAGGCCAGGAGTAGCATAGCGGTTTTCGGAACAAATATGCCACATCGTGCTTTAACGGACTTTGTTTGCTAATAAGTTAACGGACCGTTGATGTCTTGGCTGTCTGCGCGGTCGATCTTACCCTAATATTAGCGCCGCTATGCTCGGTACCACTTCCAGTTAATCATCATCATCTGCTTTGCTTTTTCGTTCAGTCGATCTCAACCCACGATACCCGCGCGATGCAGCGGACGAGGAGCGCGGCCCCTGCCTCCGACATCCTTCTCACCAGCATCATGTCAGCCTTTGTGCGACTGGGCTGCATCGTTTTTCTTTCATTTTCTTTTCTCGTATCTGCCGTCCCGTTGAACGAACATAATGGCACCCAATACACGACACCCAACGCCGTTAACAACCGACGAACCCGAGCCATCGCGGCGGTGGTTCTGGCATTCTCATCTCTGAGTATGACAGCTTCCCTGGTTGCCTTTTTCTGGGTTTGTCGCATGGAAAAGCAATTTCGCCACCGGTCAGTGCTATTGTGCCCAAGTGATGTATGCGCTCATGGCTCTGGTATAGGCTTCTTATGCTCGTGATTTGCGGTGACCTGATACGAGGATTTTGTTTCGTTGTTGGAGCAATTGTAATGCTGGCTCGGGGACGTGTGGAAAGCACGTCGGCATACTGCCAGTCGAGCGGGTTCTTCATAGCGTTTGGGACGGAGACAAGTGGTAAGACGGCATAGCCCAACTATTGCGCATTTCCTCACAACTGCTCTTAGATTTTGCTGTTCTCATGATAGCGATTCATACCGCACTTCAGGTCTTTCGGCCCTCCGGTCAAGCACCTTCAGAAGGTCTGCATCCGTACAAGTACTATGTTTACGCAGGTGTCTTTTGCGCGCCCACAATATCAGCAAGCCTGGCTTTCCTCAACCCCCAAGGAGCGTATCGCTTGCAGGGCGGCTACTGCTTGCTCCCAACCCGCCCGTTCTGGTACCGGCTAGCCCTGGCATGGATTCCGAGGTACTTTATCATATTGGTCATCATCAGCCTTACCATTGCGATTTATACATATGTTGGGTGGGAGTTTAAGAACTACAACGCAATGAGCCGGAAACTGGGATACACTTTGAACAATGACCTCACTCGAACCAGTGTTGATATTCGCGCGTCTCAACCCAGAGCATCGCTCTTTGTCGATGATTACGTGCCCAGCGAAGAATTTGCAACCCGTCCCGCCAGTATGATGACCCAGCCAAAGAATTCAGGCTTGCACTCACGACGCACTTCGACCACCTCTCAGAAACCTGTCACTGTACCGGAGCGTAGATATCCAGCCTCGTTGAACTGTAGCGAGCTTTGTGGAGCACCAGGACCAACATCTATCCTTGCCGCCTCCACCAGCCCCACAACTCCAGCCTTGGTGCGAAGCACACGACGTTTCCACGGCAAGCACAGCGGCCCGGGCCGGCCACCGCTAGTCTCTATACCATGTGGGCAGACTGTCGGACAGGTCGAATATGACGGCAGTTTACACCCATGTGTGTCGTTATCGCATACGGATATACTGAGCGCCAGCACCCCGACGCTACATGCCTTTCCGGGGGCTTCTAGCACGCCCGAACTTGCCCTGCTGGAGCCACCGTCTCCAGGATTAAACCGCATGATTCGCCAGCGCGCACGCATCCATCGCCAACTACGCCTTACATTCATCTATCCGATAGTGTATACTTTGATGTGGGTGGCACCATTTGTATATCACTGCATGATGTACGACGACCGTTATGTGCAGAAACCGATATGGGCAATAGGGTTAATAAGTTCTTTTTGCATTGTGAGCATGGGCTTTGTCAATTGTCTGGTGTTCTCGCTGCAGGAGAAACCGTGGAGAGGGATAGCGACGAGCGACGGCACGCTCCTGGGCAGTTTTTTCGTTTGGAACGGAAGAAACGATAGATGGACCCGCCGATTGCGTGGCCGATCGCGGTCGGCTGGGGCCGGTGGGGCTCCGCGGGGCGAGGTGGCGCAACGTTCATTATCCGACGGGGGGTTGTATGGACCCAGGCGGAGTATAGGGTCGAGCGCGGGGTTCTGTGGGTATTCGCGGGTTGAGAAGAATTGGGCGAGGGAGAGGCTCGAGTGGGAGAGGCAAGAAAGATACCGGGTGTTGCAGGAAAAAGCCATGAAGGGAGACACGAGTAGTACACGGACGCATTCGATGTGCGAGAGCAGTTTCTGTGGAGATGGCGAGCATGACTATGTGCATGACGATAACGATGGAGGAGAAATGACGGATTGGAACACCGAGACTCGGGATGAGGAGTTGAAAGGTTCGAATATACCCGCCAAAGGCAGTGAAACGAATTCTTGATGTATTATGCATGTAGATACCATCCAGATACGACGTAATCTAATATATCTAACAAGTTTTGTTGGAATTGTTCTTTTCTCATCTTGTTCAAAAGCCATGCACGTTTACCTCGCGCCCCTCTTTCAACGGCAAGTACACTTTCTGCCACAAGTCGCTCTGCTCACCGAGATGGTAGGTTAGGCTAGCATCCTGCATACCAGGGGGCAATGCCGAAGAAGAGGAAGAAGGAGCCATAGTTTCGAGCTGCGAGATGATGTTTTCCAAGCCCAGAGCTTTGCCTGTAGCTTGTGTGTTTCCGGCTTCGAGTGAAACATGGACAATGTGAATATGGAAGTGGTAGTATGTTGGTTGGTCTAATGTTTTTTTTTCATTAGTTTCTGTTTTGTTTTGTTTTTTCCCTTCTTCTTGGTAAGGAGACAAGAGTGAAAGGGGCAGAAGAAGAAGAAGAAGAAGAAGAAGAAGAAGAAGAGGACGAGAGAAAAAACAAACACACTTACAATGCACATAAAGCTTCAACTCATCCCTCTCAATGTCCGGATACAAGGCCACGGTCGCCTCGACCATCTTCTCCCTCATATGCCTTACCCACCCCACCATGTCGCGGGTCAAATCCCTCACACTCCAGATATCCCTCCTCTCTACTATGCCCAACAAGTGCAGACCACCCATTGTCTTGCGGTCCCAGTTTAGATCGGGAAGTAAGAGAAAGCCGTCGGAGCCGGATTCGCGGTACATGACGTCTTCCTGCTCGGTACGGCCCTCGATGATGTTGTAGATCCAGTTGAGGGCGCCCTTTTCGCGCTGGGCACGCATGTACGGGCGGATGTAGGAGGTGTAGATTTCCGGTGTTTCGGTGACGACGCGGAGGCGCTGCTGGGTGTACTTTTTGACGTGTTTGTCTGTGCATGGGTAGATGAGGTTGATTTTGAAGTCCGGGGGCGGTGGGGAAGAGGCATCTTTGTCGTTGCTTGGGTTGGAGTTTGCGAGGAACCACGCGTAGATGTCGTTGGCGCCGAGGTTCTTGATGTTGCGTAGAGATGTGGAGAAGCCTTCGAGGATGGCGGGTGTGGTGTCAAAGGCGGCGCGCTCAGCTATGAGGAGTGCGGGCTGTGAGTCTATGGTTCCTAGCAGACTGATGCGGCGTCCGGCTTGATCTGAGTTGAGGAGCCGGGTGAGCTTGAACTTGGGTATCAGAGATTCTACGTGGGCAGCTACTTCGGGGGGTGTTGTGGAAGTCATGCTTTCAGTTGGGGTTGAGTCTATGCATGCTTCAGTCAGTAAAATTTGACATCAGATCTGACTAAAGCCTTCGATAGTCTGCATATGCCGTGGTGGTGCGTGATAAATTGCACATATCAAGGGTTCATGTTTGCTTTCTTTAACACCTAATGTAGCTTAAGACGATGGGCATTCGCCAGCGCGGCTTTTTTATTGTTTCCAAAAATCAAAAGAAGTTTTGTTTTTTTGGTTAGAAGCACGCATCTCCGGGAACAAGATTGTGCCAGTGCCAGATCACGATTGCAATTAGAAGCAGAGGTTGACTTACCGAATGATTGGAACGGGTTGTAGTGCAAAAGCACAGAGCATGCCCGCTATGTCGGAATATTAGTGGGGTGGGTTTTCTTTAGAGATCACGTGCCCGCGCGAAGTCGCGTATCACTGCGGCAACCAACCAGAAGCCCGGGCTAAGGACGCCAAGACAGCCAGCCAGAGGTCACGTCACGTCATTGTTCCAGCTTCCCCCCTTTGTCGCGCACCACGATTATATGTCAAAGAATCGCATACCACTCGCAATATTCATCGCACATATACAAACATGCCACCCAAAGGTAGGACTCCACGCGCGGCGACCAAATCGCAGCAGTCAACGCTCGCTTTCCATGGATCGACGAACAAGGTCACAAAGTCCGGCATCAAGGCGCAAGCCGCAAAGAAGAGCAATGTGGAGAAGAAGTTGAAAGACGCAACACCTGAACTCTTGGAGACATGGGGCGCACAGCCTACAACGACTGAAGTAGCCATAATCGAGCAAACGGAGCAGGAAGTCGAGGCGCAACGAGTGGAGAGCAGTCCGGAGGAAGAGCAAGCGCGGCGCATATCAGACGCAGTTATCAAGAGGTATTGGGCAGAAAAGGAAAGGCAAAGGCGAGCGGCGAGAGTGCACCAGGAAGGGTTGAGTGTCCATGACAAAGTGCTTCGGGAGTTCGACATGAGCGCACACTATGGCGTAAGTTTGGCCCAATCAGCGACCTTGTGACGCAAAACTACTCGAGGCCGACCAAACTGCTGACGACGTGGGTGCCATGTAGCCGTGTACTGGAATTGCTCGGTTGAAGCGGTGGAAGCGAGCGCAACGGCTTGGCCTTGACCCGCCGGTCGAGGTGCTCGCTGTGCTACTCAGGGAGCAGGAGGGCAGTGCGGGGAACAGGATTAGTGTGCAGCGATCGATTGTGGACGAGAGACTGAACATCAGGGCCGAGGTTGATGTATGAGGAGGGGCGGGCCCATGTATGATACTACTACTGCTGCTGCTACTGCTATGTGTGGAGGATGCTGGGAAGGTGTCACAAGGGCACGCGAGCAGGCTACTGAGCATCAAAGCTAATGCGGGCGGGCGAGTTGACGACGCTGGCCATGAATCAATGAGAGATGAAGTCAAAGTCGTGTGTGTGTACAACGGGAACGAGGGGCAGCGAGTGATTGCGTGGTCGGGGTGGATGGCAGCGATAAGAAAAGTCTACTGTGACTGTGACAAGCGCAGTTTGAAGGAGTCTGGCAGGCCGTACGTCAGCATGCATTGGCTGACGAGTCCAAGGGATGGTGCAGGGGACGGCGGCCGTCGGGACTCGGGACTGGGGCAGCAGCAAAGACCGCCGGTCGTGGCTCGGCAACAGTGCAGCAGGCGGGTGCGAGGGCGGTGGTTGCTTGGACACAAGTCGGTGTGTAGGCCTTGGGAGTTTGTGGTGTGCAGGCTGGCGGCATGCATCCAAACGCATCCAAGCGCATCCAGACGCGGGGTTGGGCTGGGCTGGCGATGGATCGGCCATGGCATGGCATGGCATGGCATGGGCGGATGCAGATGCAGAGTGGCAATTGCTGAGCTGCGGCCAAGTGGGCCGCTTCCCCAAGCCGCCGCCGGCCACTGGCCACACTGGCTGCCCGCCCGATTCCACGCTGCCGGCCGGCCATGCTCGAGAACTCTCCTCATCCTCGTCTGCTGTCCATAGCGCTCCCCACCAGGCCCACCCTCTTCCACTGGGCCCCCGCCAGCCTATCCTCCTCCTTAGTACCGCCCGCCATCCATGTCCGTCTGCGACTCTGCTATCTGCCATGGCCGCCACGACACCCGTCCACGCACACGCACACACACAGCCAGCCTTGCTTTTGTCGGCACGCCCTGGGCCCTAGCCACACGCTGTGCAGTCATCTAATCTAATGAACCGCCTACTGCTTAGATACACACACACACACACATACATATGCCCATAGAGTACTGTCGTCTGCCCCGGCCAATCCGCTCCGCTCCGTCCAAGCAAGCCTTGCAGCGTGGCTTGCAGCGTAGCGCCAGGCTTAGCTGAAGGAAAACGGCGCCTTTTCCAAAGTGCTGGGGTGGGTGCGAGGGAGGGGTGGGGAGGTCAGATAGCGAGGAACCACTAGACACGCCCATATCACTCCTACGCTGCATCCGCTTCCTGCTCCTCCTGCTCCTCCCCTGCCTTTCTTTTCTTCCCTTCTGCCCCCAATTCCACTGATACCCTCATCCCCTATCCCCCATCCCCCATCATGCTCGCCCTCGCGCTGTAGACCCGTGTCGACCACTCCCGGTTGTTGATCAACTCAGCAGCCAACGCGTGCGCAATCTGGCCAAACCCTCAACGCGGTAGGTCCCAAAAAAGCAACACACGTCGATGCGCCCAGTACCGTATACTTATCAATTGCACGGCAGAAGATTCGCTGTCACTCCACCCCATTGTGATACACATCCTCGCCCCCCGCTTCTTGGTCCTCCTGTTTGATTGGGAAAGAGCGACTGTCCTACCGCTACTTACCTGTCCGACTGCCATTACCCACGGCCTTGCCCCCCCAAAAAATCCCTCTTCACCTTCCGCACGCCCATTGTGCACGTTGCGCACTTTCATCCGCATCCGATTGCTTCTTCTGCTTCCTCGTCTTCTTCTCCCTCCTCTCCCTCTTCTCCCTCTTCGCCTCCAAACCGCAAACATGGCCGCTGCCGTCGCCAGCTACCCTTCCATGCCACGTCCTTCCTCGACTCCTCCACCGCACCTGTCTCTGAACACGTCATCCCGCGGCACACCTGCTCCCATTCCTAACAAGCACATTCCAGTCTGCCCGCCTGGCGCACTGCCCGCCACGCCCCCAGCATCTCCTCCCCGTCAGGACAGCCTCATTGAGACTTCTTCAATCACTTTCCCCCCTGACGCATACTGCTCAAAGTATTCCGATGATCCACCCCTCTACACCATCACCGCAGATCGTCTGGCCCAGGCGCTAGAGCACATGGCCACACAGCCACTTCCGAACCCTGAGCAAGTCTTTCCCTGGATGCACGGCCTCCATGCAGACAACCAGATACAGCTTGCTTTTTTCTCCTCGCGCCGCAGGAGTGGCCGCAAAGTCCCCACGTGCATTCGCAGCATCACCATTGTCAAGACCGGTGGAAACCTCTCGTCCTCCAAGCTCAAGGGTGCCATTGCCCCTGATGAGATACTTGATTCCCTTGCTTCAGAAAACCCCCAATTCCTCGAATGCGATCCCAAGGAAGGCTTCTCCGTGCGCAACTTTCACATTCAGACTTGCAAGATGGCATTGGTCTCAGATATCGTCGTCTACGGCGACCACAAGACAAAACCCGAAGACACAATAGCACTAGCCCAGAAAATCTCCAGAGCTCAGAGGCAGTACGAATCACAGCATGGCCTTTCGCCAAATCGGTTCAATACGTTTATGCTTTCAGGTAATTCGGACCCTGCACATGCACTATACGTACAGACAGCTAATGGTTTTCCAGATACTTTCAGTTGCGTACAGGAAAAGCACCCCAAGCTGATTGCCGTCAACTCTACTGGACAAATGACAGGACAAGTTGTAGATTTCTGTAAGTAACCAAAAAGGGAGCCAGCAAATCACCGTGGTTAACGTATGCCATTAGTTTACTGGGAGCGATACGAGATGAGCGAAATGTCAAAGGCATCAGAAATCAGCAACAATGTATTTCTCGGCCCAACACCCGACCAGACTCTGCATCCTGAGTGCTTAGGACCAGAGGCCTACGACATGCTCATTGAAGCAACCGATCTTGCTCATGTACCCGAACCACGCTCATTGCGAGCCCTTCGTATGGGTCTGGAAAGAGTCCACCGCAAGTCAGCTTTGCACATGGAGTTCCCCTCATCAGGGAGTATCATGCCCCCCACTTGGGCACACGGAGAAATTGATGGCCTCATGGCCATGTGCAAATGGATGTACGAATTGGCAAACCCACAAGAAGTACGGAGGTCGAAGCGAAGGAGGGAGGACGAGGATGAGGCTATAGAAATGGTCGACACTGCAACACCACGCAAGTTCTTGATTCATTGCACTGATGGCTACACCGAGACAACCCTCCTTGCCCTTACCTACTTCATGTATGCCGAAGGCCTGCCTGTCCACGACGCTTGGATCAAGCTGCATCGTGAAAAGGGCCGAAACTTCTTCGCATACCCATCTGATGTAGCCCTTCTGACAGCCATACAACCACGCATTCTCCAGGAGTCACCACGCTTCAACCAGAGCATCCTCAACATCCCAGAGCCGCGCTGGCTCTCGAAGCTTGATGGAAGCCTGCCCAGCCGCATTCTACCCTACATGTATCTCGGCAATCTTGGCCATGCCAACAACCCAGAGCTTCTTAATGCTTTGGGCATTACCCGTGTATTGAGCGTCGGCGAGACGCTTTCCTGGCCTGAGAGTGTGCAAGATGAACTCAATTGGCCCACTGACAACTTTCTCATGATCGACCGAGTTCAGGATAATGGCGTTGATCCTCTCTGGGGCGAGTTTGAGCGTTGTTTGAAATTCATTGGTATGTATCTCGGGTCCATGTTTGTCTTGGAAACCACTAACAAAGACGGGTAGAAGCTGGAAGGGCTGAGGGTGGTGCTACACTGGTGCACTGCCGCGTAGGTGTTTCACGCTCGGCAACCATCTGTATTGCCCAAGTCATGAAAGAGCTTGGCCTTTCTTTTCCTCGTGCTTAGTAAGTAGTGCCTGTTCTCCATGTTGCCATCCTGACTAATTCCTGCAAGCTGTTTTGTGCGAGCCCGAAGACTTAATGTCATAATACAACCACACCTTCGGTTCACCTATGAACTACTCAAGTGGGAAGAGTATCAGCGTCAGCGACGCAACGAACCTCTTCGCCGTGAATTAGAATGGGCCACTGTGGCGCGCGAGATCGCCCTTATGAACAAGCCTTACTCGAGATGATTTCCTTTCGGCACTCTTTGTGCACCTATTCCTGCCATGACTGACGACGACACGAACCGTACATGTTCAACTACCAAATTTCGACTTTGACTCTGGCCGCTCGATTCTGCGGCGAGTTTTCGCCCCATGTACGCGATACAATGGCGTTTCTGCGGCCTTTTTTTCCTTTTTCTTGTTTTAATTGTGCCTCTTTTCGCATTCTCCCGTAATAAGAGCCGTCGTATGTTGGTGGCATTGATTTTCACGAGGTTGTCAACATTTTGGTTTGTACCTCGAATTGGGCGTGGGTTTGGTTGCGCGCCTTTGTCGTTTTTTTGGTATATTTGCGCCAGAACCCAGCCACACGGCTTGACTGTACTGGATGTATGCCGTTCTGGTCCCTGCATGTGCATGGCGATGGAATGCGGGCTTTGGAGGCACCTTCCCTTACTCATCTTCTCAATACGTGTATTACTGTCTTGTTCTGCCTCAGCAACATTTCACTGCTGTTGCCCATGAGCAACCAATTAGGTTTTCGATGCGACTCTGGGGGCGTTTAGGTTAGGTTTCCATTCCTTTTCAACGTACAAATTCCATCTTTTCCCTCTGGTCTCAACATCATCCCGAAACATCACATGCAAAGTGGACATATCATCATATCCATGGCCGTGATATTCGACAAAGTTGCTTTTATTTTGTTCACCTACTCCTTACCACCAAGGTATCTGTACACAACCGAAAAGTCCTTCCCTTTGCAGTTTTCGGCCTGCTCTACAGCATCATACAGTGCTCGGGCTGGTTCACCCAAAGCAAGCTTGACGTCGGCCTCGGCTGCTGCTTTGAGCGCAAGCTTGAGGTCCTTGTTGGCGAGAGCTATTCCAAACCCTCCCTCATATCCTCTACTAGCAGGCGAGCCTTCAATGACACCGGGTACAGGGTTGTTGACTTCGCTCGGCCAGCACTTGCCTGTCGCCGTGTTGATCATGCCAGCTAGAGCCTTGGGGTCAAGGCCCCATTTGACGCCCATACTCATGGCTTCCGCAGTTGCAATGTTGTTGAGTGCGAGAAGGTAATTGTTGGCCAGCTTGCCTTTGAGGCCCGCTCCTGGCCCGCCGAGGTGAACCACTCTTCGGCCCATCAATGACAGTACCTTGGTCGCGTCCTCAACAGCCTCTGGCGGGGCACCAATCATAAACGTGAGTGTGCCTGCCTGTGCACCAACAACACCGCCTGACATGGGTGCGTCTACAAACTTGCCTTGGCCAGTAGAGTGAGCAGTTTGCGCCACTTCACCCGATGTCATAGGGTCAATAGTTGAGCAATCAATGAAGAAGCGCTCTTTCTTGATTGCCCCATCTGTGAGAAGCGTTGGAGGCTCCAGCATCTCTTTGAAAACAGCCTTGACATGCTTAGGCTCAGGTAATGAGGTGATGATTGTTTCCTGCAACAGCGTTAGTGCAATGCATATGACGATGGTGGCAAGTAACATTTGCAGAACATGGAAGCATCAGAGGATTGGCTATAATTTTTGTGTAATCAGAATAAGGGCCACGAATGGCCCCCAACTTAGATCATTGATAGAACAATTAATTCATCACAAGACATTATGCAGAAGACAGAAGACGTTGTGTTACTTACAGCGTTCTCGGCAACTTCTCGAACGTTTTTAGCAACCTTGACACCCTGAGGATGTTCATCGAGAAACTGCTTGGTTGCTGCGGTGTTGACATCATGTACAAACAGCGTGTCTTCAGCTGGTATCTTCGCTCTGAGGTTCTTTGCCATGGGATATCCTAGGAGAAGTTAATAGATGCACTCTTGTGAGCAACAATGGCACTTACCCATCCGCCCGAGGCCGATGAACCCCCATGTAGCCTGCCAATTCTGGGAGCTCGAGAAGCATCTCCGTGTACTTTGGCGTGCTGCAAATGATATCGTTCTTCGCACAGGCGAAGCAAATGCTGATACTGTCCGCATTGTGTGGTTGTGAGGGATAGACGTCGTGGGGTATCGTCAAGATGCGAGATGCACTGCAGAAAGCGGTTGGAAGCGGTCTCCGCACCCTTGGATTGCGTTCAGCCGAGGTCGCGGTCTCCGGAAACAGCTGTGGGAACATTCCCAGCAGCCTTGGCCTTGCAAGGCACTGGGGCCATGTTGGCATGCATGCTGAAAGAGTGACACCGTTGCCGATTCACAATGCACCAAAGTGGCTATGCCTAGTAATCCTGGCGGGGATTGGTACTTATGGGAGTGCTGGTTGGAACATTGAAGAAAATCTGCGGGCTGGTGGAAAAGTATTTCCGGCCGAAGGGGCGCTAAACTTGATTGGCACATGCTAACATCTACTCATGGTCTTCTTGGCGCGACTCCAGTGAAGTATATTTCCTTCGTGAGAGTACAGATTGACCCATTTTAATGTTCAAGCATAAAAATGTTTCGTAGATAGCGTTTAGAAGTGCTCTGGCAACAAAAGCAGTCCTCAGGTGAACACATCGAGCCAAGATTTGCACGTCGACATGTATGCAACTTTCAGTGACTTTTTTTCCGCTTTCTAAAATAACTCCTCATGATACTCAATGTATTAGTCTGAGCATTCTAGGTCTGCTGCCTCGAGTAGAGCTGGGCATGGTTGTAGCAAAATACGTAAGGTACGGACATGATGGCTTAGTCAGCTACCGTATCGCATCATGAACTTTTGTCCATCATTGTCGTTCAACGCCGACCGTAACCCAATATGGCCGTTACACTCCTGAGGGGCCTTCTAAGGCCATCAATTCTCTCTACTGCACAGTTTGCTCTCGCGCGATCAATACGGCCTGCTTTCGCCGCCCCCGCTTTCGAAACCACTGCTCCAGCGTTCGCAATCCGCCCGCCGCCGTCGTCGCGCGCCCACAAATGCACACTGATACAAGTGCTACGACAAGGGAGAATCGCACAAAAAGCGCGGAAGCTTCGTTCACCGCAATTGAAAGACCGACCGGAGCTAAAGGGAGTGTGCCTCAAAGTCGGAACAACCAAGCCTAAGAAACCAAATTCGGGAGAGAGGAAGATCGCGAGGGTCAGGCTGAGCACAGGAAAGGTCATTACGGCATATATCCCTGGTGAAGGTATGGCATGCACATCTGTAGGCTTGCAAGACCTCGGGCAATGCTAATGGGACATCAGGACACAACGTGCAGCAGCATTCTGTAGTTATGGTGCGAGGCGGACGAGCACAAGATTGCCCCGGTGTAAAATATCACTTGGTTCGAGGAGCGCTGGATCTGGTAGGAACTCGTTCCTTGTGAATAAAAACCATGTTGCTAACATGTATTAGGGTGGTGTTGGTAACCGAATTACTGCTCGATCAAAGTACGGCACGAAGAAACCAAAGACTGCGGCATAAGCCAGTAAAGCGTATTTTAAACCTGTATCATACCTTTGGCATCAATGGCGTTGGGAGACACCCTGGGCAGAAGGGTCATGGCCTCGTCTCCAGCCTGGGCATTCTTCATAATAGGTTGGCCCTCAGAGAGTGCTGAATCTCTTGAAAATGAAAGAATGCAGCCATGTTCTTAATCAATGCTCAGCATGCCGCCTTATCAGTCGTACCAATACTTCGCCGTGTGACTTGCAGATGTATGGGCAAAAAATTGGTTAAAAACAAAAACACACAACAGTGGGGATTCGCTAGTAGTCACTATTTTATAGGCTAGACAATTATATTGCTATAGATTATACTACTGAGGTAGAGAAGGCGCTCAAGCAAAACCTGGAAGGGGGGAAAGAAGCGAGGTGAGAGAAAGAAGCCAAATACAGCATGCATGGTTTACATCCAAGAAGCCTCGCGTGACTTTATCAATATCACAAAGCTTGGCACTGTCGCACGAGTTGCAAACACCTACTTTACTCTCCTCACGCACGCTACACAGCGGACCAGAAGCTTCAATGAGCGAGGCATAAATCGAATTGTATGATCCAGGCCACTCAGGAGCGGAGGTTTGGCATTGGTCTATCGCAATCACAAATAAGAGAGATGGCCGGACACCTTACCACATTGCAGGCAAGTGAACATGCTGCCACACATATTGGTGCTTGCCATGTGTTCTTTGCGCCCAGTGCTTAGAAGCCAAGAGACAACTGTTTACCTTCACATTGCCCATGTGTTTGAGGGTACTTGTTCGTGTTTCTACCGCAACAGGTAAAAGCCGGCGTGTTGTCGGGTTTGGTCCGGCCTTCTTGCCCGGATAGTACATGGGTTGCGAGGAATGGGAATGGGGCGGAGGTTTGACCAAGCCGCCCGGGCTGCATGTTAGCGTCATCTCCACGACCGCCGCGTCAGGACGGCCAACTCGCAGCCCAGACCAGAGCTGATCCATCAAAGCGCTTCTTGTCGATATCTCATCAGGGCGTCTCGGCCTCGTGTTTGCGCGTTTGTAATCGCCATGTACCAATTCCAATAGTCGCTAGATCTCTGCACTTCCTCAAGCTTCAGATATCCCCGGGTATCCGTAAACCGTCCGTAATGGTGTCGCCCGGCGCGTCCACCAACGCGACTTCGTTCCTACCATCGTCGGCAGATCTGCTCATGGCATTTCCTCGTCTTCTCTCCAAAGTTAGTTCTTTGGGCGATATGATGCGCGCAGGGGGTAGCGTGATAGCAGAGCCAACGGCGAACCTAACCAACAATACAATAACTTCCACAGTTGCTTTTATACAAGAGTCTCATTCTACAGCTACTGCTACTTCTGCTGCTGCGGTAGCGGCATCTTCAGAAAGTGATATGACGGTGTGGCAGGCTTTGAGAAATGTAGCGACATGGTTCAGCTACATAACATCAAAGTGGGCAATTGCTACATTTGCTATTGTAAGTTGCACACGAGCCCAAGGGAATAGTAATCCTTTGCTTATCGTATACACACAGGCAATTCTCTTGAACCGTACTCACTTCTATGGAAACAGCCGTATACCTCTATCTTTCGACCGCCTCTACCTGCGTTTCACTCTCTACGTTATGCCCCTGATGTTGTTCCTATACCAAATTTCGAATGTGCTCCGAGCGATACGATGTCAAACCTCCCCAGACTGGTCAGATATGCAATATGGAGCAAGTGGCAGACATCTGGATACCGATTTCGGCGGTGAGGGTGGTTTTCTCTGGCGTCTTGGATCGACAATCTTATTCTGGGAAACTACAGAAGAGTCTTGCCACGCTGTGAACATGCTTCCGCAGGATTCATCGGCGACAAGAGATTCTGGGTCGCTAGCTCTTCTTTGGCCCATTTTTCTGTCTTTGGGGTTTGGCCAATTTATCGACACGTTAGCTTGCGCTCTTCAGGGCAGGCGCCCTATTCAAGAAGTTGGAATGACTCTCTTCGAACACTCACTTGCATTCGCCGAAGCCGAGGCTGTTGTTACTAGGCCGTTGGCTGTCGATTCAACACGCTTCTTCAAGCCAAAGCCTGTATTCGCACCGAACGGCACGTCACTCATGCTGCAGAGGACACAGCTCTCCAAAATCGCCAACGTTCCTCCGGAAGTTTTGCTTATATCTCTTATATCGAGTGTTAGCCATTTCACAAGCAACCTGTTAGCGATCGCAGGGGTGCGTTCAAAGTACCGACTGATCACTACCACAATCTGGGGACTGGCATACATTTCGGCCTTCGCTTGGAGCTTTGCTCGCCTTACATGGATGGTCGCTGATCCAGACAACTATGTGGGTATCTTGAGGTTTCCCACTGTGTGCATCATCGGCTTCATCCCTCACCTATTGATTATACTTGGTATGATTGCATGCGGTGTTATATATTTGCTAGCTCTTCTCATCACAGCGTTTTCCCTTCCGGCAAGACAGGCTGATTCTTTCACACTACGCGAGAGATTTGCAGCTGCCTACAGTAACCTCCACGCCAACATCCATTTGTCATCAGTCTCACCTTTGACAATTAACTGGCATGAAGACTTTTACACTACCATTCTCAAGGTGGGCTATGTGATTTTGACTGCCGCGAGTGAGGCGGTCTTTCTGAACGAAGGCACCAAGGTCAATGTGCACGCCATGACATGGCTAGAGAAGCAGCGACTGCAAGAAATTCTTGCTCGTCGGAGAAGACGTCGAGAAATGCTCGTCGACATCCCAGCAGAGCTCAGGAATGATACATTTGCGCAAGGCGTTGAGGTGGTTGATCAGCTCAGCGACGGAAGATCAGACGCACCAACTTCAGGCTATGCAAAGGAGCGGAAGACTAGGAGTACCAAAACATTTACCGACCCCTCGGGTTCCATGGGACATGATGACCCAGCCCGCCACCAGCGCGGCCGCTACGTCCAGACTTATAGATTCTTCGTCCGTATATCGAGACTAGTCGTCCTTGGTGTCGCAAAAGTCACAGGCTGGTTCCTGATGAAGGTTGGCATAAATTACCGGCCGATGTGGCTGAGGCGTGCTGCTGGCGCTTATGAAGCCGAGAAGGTATACTCGCTAGCCTCGCGTTCAGATCGGACATCAGCCAGCCAGTCGTGGCTTACCTTGGACAACCGTAATCGGATTCGTCAGGACCCGACGTTTGATGTCGAATCATTTGCAAAAGAGAGGCTTCGACAGAGCGGCTTCTACTCTGAGCCGGATACGGAAGAATCAGAGGAACGTCTCAACGACTACCTTTACTCTTGGTGGCGCAATGGCAGTCTTTGGAACGAAGTCGACAACAGCAGGGACTATGCTGTCGCACAGGACGATGATACTACTAGTGTAGTTTCGTTCGCCACCACGACTGACAATGACGAATGGTCTGACATTGATGATGGACAGAGAACACCGACACGCGAAACCTATCGACACAGTCGAGAGGAGACACCCTCGGTTGATGACACCATGGATTTCTCACGCCTTTCGCAGCTCCTCGATCCGAAGACAAAAGAAGACCGCGAGGAGGCCAAGTTACTATCAAGACATCTTCAGAGTTCCAATATCATGACGCGCTCGCAATATCGTAAGGCTCTGGAGCGAGAAGAAGCCAGGGTTTTGACAACATCACGTTACCAGGTGGGCGGCGACATAGCAATGTCACCAGAGGAAGAGGAGCAGCTCCTTGAAGACTTCATCCTCAGCCGCCGAAGCACCACAGCACCGCCGGGCAGGAGCAACGCTGGCAGCTGGGATACAGGGGCAGAAGGCATGGGCTCTGAAGGACCTCAGTGTGTAGTATGCCAAATGGCACCGAGAACGGTACTGGTATGGCCCTGTGGATGTCTGAGCTTGTGCGATGAATGTAGGGTGGGGCTGGCGTCGAAGAACTACACGACCTGCGTCTGCTGTAGGACGAATGTAGCGGCATACTCACGGCTTTATGTGCCATGAGACTGTCGTGACATTTCTTACTTTGTTTCCTAGCTAAGCGTTGCTACATGTCTTGTATATATACATCTGAATGAATGTTCTGTATAAGACACTTTTTCAATTGTCTGAGAAATGGCTCTCGATGGGTAGAAAGAACGATTACCCATTGAGCATCGGGACGTATCGGAGTCAGCTCGATCCGATGGTTAGGCAGTGGGGCGGCGGCCTTGAATAGCCAGTGTTACCTCAGCCTACCCCACGTTCGAGTTCTCTATCTGCGAGTGGCGATCGTCATCTCTTTCCGTCACAACTTCTGTCTTGGCAAACGAGTCATCAAAACTTCCGCCCTGAACACACTCCTCCTGACAACCACACCCGCCTAACGCTCAATTATCCGCGCCCACACAAAATCAACTCTGACTGAGCATTTCCAACAAGCTCGGTCAATCGCACACATCCAAGAAAACAACTCAAAGTTTTATGCAGCCAGAGCCCACAAACGTATCGCAACGCGCCTCTCAGCAACACGCCACTTTTGACGCCGCAACCACTTCCCAGCATGGACACCGTCGCAACGATGACTTGCAGGAATCTCCGCAGCCACACTTTGGTGGGCCGTGGGGAGACCCTGGCGTCCCAGTCGGTAGACTTGCACGCGATGCGACGGATTTGCCTCAAGTCATCAACGGCTTCGTCCCTGTGGAAGCCAATGGACTGAAGGGCGGTGCGCGACCTTCGCCAACCCCGAGGGATAGGATCACCGAATATGAAAACGCGCTAGCCAACTCGCCACGAAAGCCTGCTGATGGCCCTCTTTTCGAAGTGGTCAAAAGCAATAGAAACCCAGACGATAAGAGCAGCCCTATCGCGAAGCTGCCCAATGGTGGGTGAAAAACTGCTCTGCAAATAATTTGCAGCACAATGATGTATCTGGGCTAGACACTAACTTTGTACAGAGGTACTTATCCATGCTATTGCGCATCTTTCACCCAACGACCTTGCCGCAGTCGCTCTTGTTTCTCGTCGCTTTCACGATGTCGTCACTACTCCGCATGCATGGCAGGTGGCTTTTGGTCGCTCTTTTCCAGGTCCACACGCGCTCGAGGACGCGCAATATCGTTCAGCTTTGGAGGACAGCGGCGACGCTGTACGGTCTGAGAAGAGGAGGTTCACTAGGCTTACTGCATTGGCGTCGTGGAGAAGCGAGTATATTTTGCGAACAAGACTTCTACGATCCTTGGTCCGAGGCAAACCCGTTCAAATACCTACAACACCGTCCCGCGCTGGCCAAATGCAGACGGTCGCCCCAATGATCACCTACGATGCCAAGACATATACCATTATCAATCACCTACATGCAACATTTGGATCCGGTCTAAATAACAAAATGCCTCGATTTATTCAT